AAAATTCAAGATCATAAAATTAGTGAATAGAGCTTACCCCAGCGGTCCTGTAGACTTGTTATCCTAAGGCAGCAATTGAAACCCGTAATATACAGTTTAGGTATTTCAGAGGAATTGTCTGTCAAAATTATTTTTATCAAGTAGGTTTACAATGAAAATTTGTGTTTCTTGTATTTTAGAGAATCCCAGGAAAAACCTCAAAATCAATTTTCTAATTCAAGTTTACACTGCTTCTTGCCCTTTGCACCACTGTTTCCCAACCTTCTGTTAAGTGTTCGTACCAAATCATTGTATACTTAGCATTTCTAAGAGCAATTATTCTTTTAGTTGGATTATTCTTATTAAGAATGCCTTGGTAAAATTAGTAAATTATGATTTAATGCATGTCTTTTTTATGCATGGACAAGTTCACAAATCACAAACCAATCTTGCACATTAAGCGAAGGGTTACAATTTTTTACTGTTAAAAAACACATTTGATTTTAGAGTCTTATTCTCTGTCCATTAGACCCCAGGTATAACTGTTTTAAGAAATTAGCTTGGAGACACATCTTGTTTTCAGGGTTGTGCTCCTTCCTAATCATTTTGAAGAAGCAGGCAGTAACAAAAAGGACAAGTAGTAGTTTTAAGAAAACTCCAGTTTGCCAGCATAGGTACCTCTGATTTGTGTTGCAATACAGCCGGGATAAGACAGGGGATTTGGTGGGAAATCCCAGTTTAAGGATCAAATGTGGCTTAAAACATCTGGTGAGTGTGCTGGGATTCTTTTGATTTCGATCTATATGACTTGAGTTTTCCTGGGTGTATGTCCCCATGGATTAGGAAAGCAATGTTCTTCCTGACACCCATCACTTCCTCCTTTGTCTTTAGAATATTTGTACTAAGTTTACAGACTTTACTATCCCTTCTGTCCTCTGGAACTTTCTCTATCCAGCATGAAAGGGCATTTCATCATTTCAACACCATTCTGACCATTAGGCAAGTTGTGGCATCTCCACTGGGAATCTCTTTATGTTATATAGATTCCCCCACAGCCCAAACCAAAATTTACTTCCATTCACCTTCTAAAAAACAGAGAGTTGATGACTGCCACTCTTTCCATTATGGCCTCTAAACTGAGGGATGGAAGCATTTATTCATAACTCATTTACCTAAGAGACAGAACACATGTGGGAGCCTTTCCTAACCCAGCAGCATGTACATAAGTAGTTTTAAATGGCATGCATCCTCAAGGTAACGGGAATTTTTGTGCATTTTAAAGAGGAGTCAAGGTAACCCAAATAGCCTTGTGATAAAAATACCTAGGAGTAGAAAAATCTGGGGACAAAGAAAAACTTACATTAAACTCATCTCTTTGTATCAAATCCTTTATGTCAAACTTGTTTCTTTGTTTTTCTTATCTACTATCATTTTGTAAAGGAAATATATTTCTGTATGGCAAGTGTGGTCCCAACTTGTGCCCCAATATATGGGAGCAAAAATTACACTCACCTCCCTCATTACTGCTCATTCCCCATGGCCCCCAAAACAAGGCATTGAGTTTTCAATTAATAGAGAAAAGATTAAAGCTTTCTCTGTAAGGTTTTACATCTGAATTATTAAAACAGCATCATCCAATTCTTGCTCTGGATACCAAAGACGTGAACGTGACGAGCATCTTCTTTAGTGTATGGTGACACACAACTGGATGAATCAGAGAACCAGGGAGGGAGAGAAAAGGCAGCCTTCCATCAGACATTTTACTTGGCACCTACACCACGCCACACCAGATGCCAGGGTAGGAGGACGACAGATACACGCAGGCTCAGTGAACACACAGCATTCCCAGGGAGGGAGGCGCAGTGCATCACCAGTGATACCGAGGTAAAGGACTGTGTCATGGCAATTCGGAGAGAAATCATCATTCCTTACAGAGTCATGTTGGGGTGAGCATCTCTCTAGATCCTTTTAGGAGTATTTATGTGTCTAATGGATGCTACCATTTATAATAAAAATTGCTTTGATCCTTTCTATTTGCTCACTGTAGCATTTTATATTTTCATCAATCACACGCAGAAGATTCTCATCAAGTTGAGATACTACCATCGATGACGATATGAGTGTTTCTTGACCACTGACTGCCACCTGCAGGGACTGGAGAAGGACCGACGTGCCAGCCCTTATGCTCTAGAAAGTGATTTATTAAAGGTGCACCCATGAATGACGCAGGACTTCCTTTTATGTAAATTTAGAGGACCCAGTGGCCTTATACTTAAAAATTCCAACGTAGTGAAACCCCAGTGGCTTCCCCTGCTGTCAATAAACTGGTTATTTGCAGGAGCTATCCCAAGGGGCCATTCAGAGGCCATTACTTTACTGCGAAGGCTCTGTTATGTAGAATCATTGTTATCAATAACACTTACCTGTATGCAGAAGGGAGGTTACCCAGCCATGACAAGCCCAGAATCTCATAGCCACTACTGAAATAGCGCAATGTTTGGGATTTATGAGAATAAAACTCTGCCAGTGATAATGCCCTTACTGGAGCCTTCTCGATTCATTTGGCATACTCTTCTGTGTACTCAGTTACATCAAATCTGCCTGTAGTTATAGGCTAGGTGCTGCATACAAAATGCAAACAATACATACCAAAGGTTCACTTCTCAAAAGGGGTTAATGGGGACACGGTTTCAAATGCCATTACGACTCTTGTGTTCCTCTAGGACAGCGCCTGGATTGTGCCCATAGCAAAATCAGCAGGGTAATGGGTGATTATCTCAATCTCTTGGGGCACTGGAGGAAGGAGGGGAAACAATCACCATTACCCGGAAAGATGGATCAAGCATGGATCACATGGTAGGAACATAAGTAAACAGATACGGGATTAGGCAAGGGAAGGAGCCCCCACATGATGATGACGACGAGAACAACAGAGATCATCGCTTAACCTGTTTTGTCAGAGCTGGTAGTGATGGCATTGGTAGTGATGGAGGTGAAGGCGGTCTTTACGCTGTCCTTGGCAGTTACAGATTTCTGCTTATTTTTCATGGCTTCCAGTGCTTTGAGCTTCTTGGCATGTTTCGTGCCTTTGTAGTGGGCCGCAGCCTGGCTCTACAAAGGAGAACAAAATGAACCGTGCAATCAGGCTCATTTCTGAACTGGCATTCTCTGTATTACTGCAAATACAGACTCCCTTTCAATAATAGGTACCGTTCGAGCTAATTCTGGCTGTGGCCAAACAGTAGAGTTCTATTTAGAATGATGCTAGAAAGCAATGGGAACCAAGTTCTAAAACCTCTCGGTGCAAGCCGAGTTACCCTATTGTTTACCTGAAGAGAAATGTAGCTGAACAGTAACCCACCAACATTTTCTTGGGGGAAGGGAAGAAAACAAGAAGCACTCCTGTATTGCCTTTGTTCTGCCACAGAAGGTGCTGGGCTCTAGGAGAGAGAAGCTCTCACCTCCTTTGCTCAGTAAATGTGTTTTTGCTTTCTACCATGTGTCTTACTAATACAGTCTCCAAAAGGCATCTACCAGGAAAATTCACATATGAAAAGGGAAGTGGCCACCTGGAGACTGAGATTGAAGCTTGAGAGCTCAAAAGCAGTGCACTGCCTAAAGCTAAATGACGTGTACAGAAGCTGGGCAATTTTCTGATTCTTTCTTTCTCTCTGCTTCCTACAGAGGGTAGTCTGAGAAATTAAAGGCAAGAGCATTCTTTCAACACGGGGGTCTGTCGTGCCCTAGCCCATGGTCAGGAGGCTCTGGTATGTTGTGCCTACCCAATGTTGGGCCAGGGCAACTATTGCTGGTGCCTTCTGAGATTTTTTTTCTAAAACAGTAATACACATTTTCTCAAGTTTATATTTTCTTTGTACTTTTCTTTTTGTTTGTTTATTACTGGGGAGACACATTAATTGAGAAAGAGAACCATCTTAAAGAAATCTGTATTATTAATGTTTCTTTCTTGGGAGAAAAAGCCTTTGTGGCTTGGGTTAGGGTGGAGGCAGGCAGGGAGATTTCTTAGATCAAAAAGTCTTCCAGCTCAAAACCTTTAAAAATGTCACCTCACAAAGAAGATATTTCAATGGAGGATTATGTCTGTCAGACTGCCCATGGCTTCCCATTGCTTATTTAAACACCATGTTCTTTTTTGCCAGAAAAATAATAATCACATTGTCCCCTTTGTCACAGCAACTGGGGTAGACAGGGTGTTGAATTATTATCTTTGTATAAGTAGATGCATAAATAACCTACACCTTCATCTGCATCATTCTGACAACTATCCTCAAAGAACTAGGTACCCTTATTGAAAGAACACCGGACAAAGAAATTATATATTAGAAACAGTTTGAACATAAAGGACACTCATGCATCAGTTACGAGTTTTCCAACAACACATAACATCAAAAGACATAGTGTGAGCTGAAATATGAAATTAAGACTTGTTATAGCTAATTAAAGAACCAGATAGGCTGGACTGGTTTGGTTTTACATGGAGAATGTCACTTTGATGGATAGAGAAAGCTGTGTGCCTTTTTTCCCCACCTAGTTCTCTTTATAAATAAATCAAGTCCTTTGGCCCTAGAATTCAAGACTAGTGTGCTACATGCAATTAAACCCACAATATTCATTTGGCATACTCTTCTGTGTACTCAGTTACATCAAATCTGCCTGTAGTTATAGGCTAGGTGCTGCATACAAAATGCAAACAATACATACCAAAGGTTCACTTCTCAAAAGGGGTTAATGGGGACACGGTTTCAAATGCCATTAAGACTCTTGTGTTCCTCTAGGACAGCGCCTGGATTGTGCCCATAGCAAAATCAGCAGGGTAATGGGTGATTATCTCAATCTCTTGGGGCACTGGAGGAAGGAGGGGAAACAATCACCATTACCCGGAAAGATGGATCAAGCATGGATCACATGGTAGGAACATAAGTAAACAGATACGGGATTAGGCAAGGGAAGGAGCCCCCACATGATGATGACGACGAGAACAACAGAGATCATCGCTTAACCTGTTTTGTCAGAGCTGGTAGTGATGGCATTGGTAGTGATGGAGGTGAAGGCGGTCTTTACGCTGTCCTTGGCAGTTACAGATTTCTGCTTATTTTTCATGGCTTCCAGTGCTTTGAGCTTCTTGGCATGTTTCGTGCCTTTGTAGTGGGCCGCAGCCTGGCTCTACAAAGGAGAACAAAATGAACCGTGCAATCAGGCTCATTTCTGAACTGGCATTCTCTGTATTACTGCAAATACAGACTCCCTTTCAATAATAGGTACCGTTCGAGCTAATTCTGGCTGTGGCCAAACAGTAGAGTTCTATTTAGAATGATGCTAGAAAGCAATGGGAACCAAGTTCTAAAACCTCTCGGTGCAAGCCGAGTTACCCTATTGTTTACCTGAAGAGAAATGTAGCTGAACAGTAACCCACCAACATTTTCTTGGGGGAAGGGAAGAAAACAAGAAGCACTCCTGTATTGCCTTTGTTCTGCCACAGAAGGTGCTGGGCTCTAGGAGAGAGAAGCTCTCACCTCCTTTGCTCAGTAAATGTGTTTTTGCTTTCTACCATGTGTCTTACTAATACAGTCTCCAAAAGGCATCTACCAGGAAAATTCACATATGAAAAGGGAAGTGGCCACCTGGAGACTGAGATTGAAGCTTGAGAGCTCAAAAGCAGTGCACTGCCTAAAGCTAAATGACGTGTACAGAAGCTGGGCAATTTTCTGATTCTTTCTTTCTCTCTGCTTCCTACAGAGGGTAGTCTGAGAAATTAAAGGCAAGAGCATTCTTTCAACACGGGGGTCTGTCGTGCCCTAGCCCATGGTCAGGAGGCTCTGGTATGTTGTGCCTACCCAATGTTGGGCCAGGGCAACTATTGCTGGTGCCTTCTGAGATTTTTTTTCTAAAACAGTAATACACATTTTCTCAAGTTTATATTTTCTTTGTACTTTTCTTTTTGTTTGTTTATTACTGGGGAGACACATTAATTGAGAAAGAGAACCATCTTAAAGAAATCTGTATTATTAATGTTTCTTTCTTGGGAGAAAAAGCCTTTGTGGCTTGGGTTAGGGTGGAGGCAGGCAGGGAGATTTCTTAGATCAAAAAGTCTTCCAGCTCAAAACCTTTAAAAATGTCACCTCACAAAGAAGATATTTCAATGGAGGATTATGTCTGTCAGACTGCCCATGGCTTCCCATTGCTTATTTAAACACCATGTTCTTTTTTGCCAGAAAAATAATAATCACATTGTCCCCTTTGTCACAGCAACTGGGGTAGACAGGGTGTTGAATTATTATCTTTGTATAAATAGATGCATAAATAACCTACACCTTCATCTGCATCATTCTGACAACTATCCTCAAAGAACTAGGTACCCTTATTGAAAGAACACCGGACAAAGAAATTATATATTAGAAACAGTTTGAACATAAAGGACACTCATGCATCAGTTACGAGTTTTCCAACAACACATAACATCAAAAGACATAGTGTGAGCTGAAATATGAAATTAAGACTTGTTATAGCTAATTAAAGAACCAGATAGGCTGGACTGGTTTGGTTTTACATGGAGAATGTCACTTTGATGGATAGAGAAAGCTGTGTGCCTTTTTTCCCCACCTAGTTCTCTTTATAAATAAATCAAGTCCTTTGGCCCTAGAATTCAAGACTAGTGTGCTACATGCAATTAAACCCACAAATAATTGGTCACCTTCTCTAGACAGCTGGCTACCTAATTTCCCTGAAAGCAAAGGTTTTCTCTTTTCTGTCAGCATTCTTACCCCTGGTACAGAAGAGAGTATTTTATATATAATCATATTAAAAGATAGGGTTTAGATGAACAGTGCTATCTCCACTTATTCTTCCAAGACACACATTTTAAAGATCCTAACGAATCTGCATTCTCAATGGTATTTCAAATTAGATGAGACTTCGTTTTAATATACCACAGAGCCAGGTGAGGGCTCTATTTTGTATAGTAAGAAACTTACTCCAAAAGAACCCTTCAGGTTAAGAGAGTATTTACGCACCCTCAAAAACACTCTGTTGCAGGTACAGCGAAGTCAAGGCTCCCAAACAAGTGAAATGGCTCAGGGGGTCAGGAGGCAAAGGGATGACAAAATGAACCATAGCTGGTGGGCTCCCAGTTGAGATGACCCAACATATTAAAAAGCAAAATGAAACAAAATAATAAAAAATGCATATTCATTTAATTGAATAACAGTTCCAAAGCACTTTGATACTATTTTAATTAGAAAAGGTAACCAAGCCTTCCCCAAATTTGAAGAAACAATGAAATGATATGGGAACACAGAGTGCTGGAGAGAGCAGAACATGTGGGGTTTAGGGAAACGGTGGGGTGAAGAAGGGTGAGAGCACTAGAGGCGGTCGAGGTGATAGTGCTCGTGCAGGATGCGCGTGCTGAGGAGAAGGTGGGCATACAAGTTGGAAACCAAATGTAGACAGACAGATCAGTCTTTGTCACTGACTTTAATGTTTGTAGAATATACTTGACTGCTCTTAGGTTATACTGGTATTAACCTTTCTATTCTATGTATATTGACCCCATAATTCTTGGTGTACCTTGATACAGTTATGTTGTACAAAGGTATGTTCCTTGTGTAAATGAATAAAATCCAGCCAGCTCTCCTCACGCCTTCAGGCCACTTCGCTGGGCGGGATAGATGATTCCTCCATATCTGATCTTTCTGTGGCTGGAGGAAAGGCTGCAGCCTAAGAAGGAATCCTTCTGGGGGATGTTTAAAAAGCAGTAGCTGGCCAGAGATGTCTCTGTGGTCCTCACTGCCCTTTCTCTGGGCAGAGAGGCACTGGATGTAATGTAGCACACCACATTCCCTCTGAGGTTGTTCCCTGGTATTTATGGGCCAGTCTTGGAGTCAAGTCATTCCCAGAAACAGGAACCACCACACACAAGCAAAAGTTATTGTCATTACGGCACATTGCAGAATTCTGTATTTGAAAACGAGATCATAGTTAGATGATCATTGTATGATTATAGTACATACAGAAGTGAGCAGAACAGAAGTTGGGCTTTGGTAATTTGTTTTTAAATAATAAGTGGAATACTAGGTTACTCTTTAATAAAAATCTCAACTGCCAACCTTGAAATAGCACATGATGCCATGATATCTAGCACGTGGCATCCCAGAGGTGAGCGAGTGCTGAAAGGACAGGCACACACACTCCTGCAGGGGATGCTGAGGCAGCTCCTCCATGATCCCACCTCCCAGACAACAGGAGCCAGTCTGACTGCCATTTTCCAAATTTTATTTTCACTGTTTCAAAATGGCTCCCAGTTTAAAATGCAACTGAAGTTCCAAGGTAGATGAAGATAATTGTTAAATGGCTAACATTGCAACAGGAGTTTCATTCATCATTTTGAAACACACACACACACACACACACACACACACACACACACACACACATTTTACTTATCTAAGTAAGAGGCTACTTTATAAATCACCATTATCCTATGAAACACACTGGAAATATAATATTCATGCATGATTTTATTCTATTAGCAACAATACCTTGTACACTTTTTGTCTACATATCTTGTATACAAGGGGTCTTTAATATGCTTTTTAAAAACTATGAAGTTTATCTTAAGCATCCATATCTGGTTACTATAGCCATTTCATTTTTACAAACATATGCAAAAAAGACACGGTGGCATTTATTAGTTTGTGATATCATGACATTTTACCACATACTAATTTTTATTAAAATAAAACAAACATTGTCATAATAAAATTCAACATCAGGAAAAGGAAGAGTAGTTACTAAAGAAGTTCACAATCCCCGGTGGGAAGGAGACAGATAATACTTGGAACCAGAGGAATTTTTTTTTTGAGAAATTATCTGATATTAAAATTTTTGGTTTTAGAAATTTTAGAGTGTCTTAAAACTTAGAAATTTTAGAGAGTTTTAAAATTTTTAAGTGTTGTTTTGGAGATGAAGAAGAAAATGAAGTGATAAAAGATTTCCCTAAACTCCAAACCACTTATTTTAGATTTATAGTTTGAGAACTATAAAAAATTACTGCAGGAAAAAAGTTTAAAATTCCATTTTACCTATGTACAGTTTTATTTATTTTTTATGTTGCATATACTCACTCAAGTCTAAATACTGAGGCACAGGTTCAACCATGTGGGTCAGACTAGTACACACTCTAGATTTGTCAGTGCCTGCTAAATATTTTAAATATCACTTCTGTATACACCAGCAGAAGAGTCCCAAGTCCTAATTCCATCTTAATTCCTTTATTATCAACTCTCAGCTTCATTTAACATTCATATAAAGCATTAGTTCTCAAAGCATGGATCCCGGGACCAGCAGCAGAGGAAACAGCAGCTGGGAGTTTGTTAGAAATGCAAATTCTTAACCTCCAACCCAGACCGATGAATCAGAAAAGATGGAGGTGCTTTCCAAGCCCTCAGGTGATCTGATGCACACTGAAGTCGCACCTTAACTGAACTATGAGTGCATTTTCTTCAAAGAGGACCCCTTCTTGCATAAGTGACCAAAGTCTAGGGTTTTTTAAATTAATGTTTAATCATTTGAAGACTGAACATTTACATATATCTCAATGTGAGCAATGCATATTACCCAAGGAAAAATCACTCAAAAGTTTCTTTCTTTAAAAGCAAGTCATAAGATATCAAAAACAACTCAGATACATATGTAACTGGGGAACTTCTGTAAGAGGGATGAATACAAAATAGCAAGTGAACCTTATAAATCTCCATACAATTCTAAAACCCCACCTAAGTGCTCTCCAGGTCCTTGTGATTTTCTCTTTCCAGTTTTTTTCTTTCCTCTCCAAGCTAATTGTTATTGCAGCATGACCAGGAGCCCATTACTTTTACCTCTATACTGAGTGCTTTGCTATGATCCATTTTGTGGGGGTTGTGGGAATTCCCAGATCTATGAAAAATTAAGCACAAGCTAAGCCCTATATCACAATTTCTAAAACTTCACTATAGCAACGGTCTAATTCACTGTTTTATTTGTATCAAACTGATATAGTATTAGTTATGTCTAGGATCTTTGATTATGTGCTTAGGGCTCTTTATTGAGCTTCCAGCCAGCAGGCAAATAAAAACCACTCTGTAAGCCAAGAGAGTGTGTTTTCTGCTACTCCACTTAACAACAAATTT